TATTTGGGCTTTGAACTCCATTAGCTACTACTAGCTATTAGCTATTACTGGTGGTAGGACCTCTTGTGAGTCCGCGCGGGTGGGTACCACCACTCTGCCTATTTCTGCCGTGATTCAGTAATGCGTTTCGATTTGAAGGATGGGGCAGCCGTTGTAACTATACTTGAGACCTTAGAACTTATTCTCAAGGTGGGTAGCGCATTTACGTTGTGGAAGTCTATGGGCTCCAGTAACCACTTAACACCAGGTGGGCTGTGAGCTCGTCCACCCATCTAAGCAATAAAAAAATAATAAAAAAATAGCTACTATACACCGGTTGAGCCATGAGCTAATATGCAGTAGACGAAAAAACTTGTAATAAGAAAGCATCAGTGTACTGATTATGCTAGTTGTAGTGTTTCCCACGTGTACTTATGTCTGGAACGTGAATAACTAAAATCAGAGAGATACAACGGACCGATGCTTTCCAAATGTGGTGCAGGAGGCGTATCTTGAGAACACTATGAACCGCTAAACACACAAACCAGTCGGTACTTTCGCTACACAAGTTTATCTTGCGACTTTCCACAATCTGGGAACAACGCTTTCTGAGGTACTTTGGTCATATAATGAGACAGGTGATGAGAAGATGAGTGGAGAGACAAAAATTTGGAGAGGTTAATCGTTGTTGAAAATAGAGAAGGCATAGGTCACCGACTAACAGCTCAGAGGCGAAGAACTGTCTCAAAAGTTCTAGGATGCTATGAGGGGCGTGATGGACTGGAATCAATGGCGCGAATGTGGTCGTGCTAGAATGATGACCATGAACCGCGATCATCAGTCAATCGACACCGCTAAGTAGATACTGATACACGAACTTAACGTATCATCATGAAGTCTCTTTTTTTCTTTGAATAAATACAGTATATTTCCACAATAACTCGTTTAAATGACTCAGCGGTGCCAACTTACCGTTCCTTGGGACTATCTCTCGTAAACAGGGGCGCGGACTCGTCCAATAATAATTTTCATTAAATCCTTCCCAGTTAATTACCTGCTTCACAGGAGGTTTGACGTGGATGTAATTCATACTAGATATGAAATTTTTCATATGGTCCATCGTTAGAACGATAAAGTCAAATATAAAGTTAGCGATAGAAGTTTTTTATGTTTTATTTATTTCTCAAAACATGACATAAAAATATTTCATTGAGATCTTCAGAAAAAACATTCAGGGTTAAAAATTATGTTTTTTTTAATTGCTTAGATGGGTGGACGAGCTCACAGCCCACCTGGTGTTAAGTGGTTACTGGAGCCCATAGACATGCACAACGTAAATGCGCCACCCACCTTGAGATATAAGTTCTAAGGTCTCAAGTATAGTTACAACAGCTGCTCCACCCTTCAAACCGAAACGCATTACTGCTTCACGGCAGAAATAGGCAGGGTAGTGGTACCCACCCGATTAATACGAACGTTACAAAAAAAATACTTTTTCATCTAATAGGCCATCTCTTTTTAACAAAATATTCTAAGTATTCAAATGTCGGGCAATTGTTTGCCCACTGTTTGTCTACTGGCGGTAAGACTATTACTATCGATCGACAACAGAAAATTAGTTGCCCCGTGATTCTAATAAGTTTCGATTGGTTTGTTTGAGTTCATTATCATTCATGGTTCAAACTCAAGTTGAAAAGCTATAGAGGTTATCCGTTATTTGATTTCTACATACCTCCTAGCGTCTAGAACATCAAATTTCTCTTAAATAAAAAAATAAGAGCTGCTTCAAAACACATCTAGTACGTTTTTAGCTCTACAAACCAAAGACGGTAAGAATTCATTAAAATCTCTCATACCGTGTGCCTTAGTATATAGCTCTCTTGTGGCTGCATTCTAATTGGGGCATTTTAAGTGTTAATATTTAAATTTTAAATTTTCTTTAGTGTGAGGTACCTTTGCAATTCATCGCATATACTTTTGGCCAGAATAATAGAGAAATCTGCGCGACCATCATTATCTTCTACGGCATCACTAGCTATTAATTCTTCCCCGTTTATATAATGTACAGCATCCGTATGATATTTTTCTGATTTCTATCATAATTGACTAGTGGTGGCATGTATTTAACGAGAACGCACGTGCTATTTCCCAAAAGTTCGATTCCAATGCCTCTCTTAACACGACCTAGTACTAAGTACACGATATACGCTTCGACGCCAATCTTAATGCTTTTGTGCAACATTGTGGATTAGCTAGTTGAAAATTTTATGACCGAGAAATAAAATTTTAATATTTCTCTAATTTAAAAAACATCGTTCTTGTAGTATCTCTATTGACTGTACTAAAAAACCAAGCACCAAGACACAGTGGTTTTCCACTTATAAACCGAATTTGGATTTATTTTACGTCGTACGTGAGTACATGCAATATATCCCAAATTGTCCCAAATTGCTTCCAACAAGTCCTCGTGGCAGCTCCTGTTCAACATCATAGAGAGAACTTTTTAAACCGAAGAAGAGATTTTATACCGAAAACTGAGACGTTGGAGAAGAAGACAAAGACGATACTGGATGCATCCTATTTTAAGTAAAAGACTTTCTTTTTTTTTGTAACTTTATATCCCGACCTGATACTACACGAAAAAAATTTTTTAACTACTGTAGGATGTCAGTGGCATCTTTTGATTTTTTATATGATTACGTTGAAAACTGAACAGATCGATACAGTTTTGTAGAACTTGTACCGCGCCGTCATATGAACTTAGCCTTAGAATACCAACGAATAGGTTGGTAAAAAAAGCGTTTCGGTTTGAAGGGTCGGGTAATCGTTGTACTGTAAAAACTGAAACCTTAAAACTTATGTCTCAAGGTATGNATGTCAGTGACATCTTTTGATTTTTTATATGATTACGTTGAAAACTGAACAGATCGATACAGTTTTGTAGAACTTGTACCGCGCCGTCATATGAACTTAGCCTTAGAATACCAACGAATAGGTTGGTAAAAAAAGCGTTTCGGTTTGAAGGGTCGGGTAATCGTTGTACTGTAAAAACTGAAACCTTAAAACTTATGTCTCAAGGTATGTGACGATATTTAGGTCGGTGGTAGGTAGTTGGTTAGTTGGTCTGTAGGTAACCACTTAACTCCAGGTGGGCTGTGAGCTCGTCCATCTATCTAAGCAATTAAAAATAAAAAATAAATATGAATGTATCTTAAAGTGATATAACACAATTGGTACAAAGCGGAAGAAGCCACCTATCCCGAGATGAATATAATTTCAGTGTTTATTAAACCTTAGTCTAATTATTTTTAAAGTACATACACCAGCTTTTTCTGTGCATTTGCTGTACGTAAGTATTTATTCAGTTTTTACTGATATTTTTTTCATAAACTAATGACAATTGTAACCGAAACACTTCATCTATATATTAATACGTAAAGCAAAAACTTTGTATCCCTTTTTACGAAAATTGCGCGGACGGTGGAGTATGAAATTTTCCACACTTATAGAGAATATAGAGAAGAAGTGCACAACGCTAATATTTTTTTTAAATAATGCATAAAAGATACAGTAAATCAATAAAGAAAACATTACACACACTACATACGATGTATTTGACACACGCACGCATGCATACTATTTATTGTCAAACTTTTGTTCTTGACGTCTGTTGTCAAATTGAGAATAGATTAAATATTGTTTGTCTTTGTTAATATTTGTTTATAGTGTAGTCTTGGCGAAATTTGTGATTATAGATGTATAAAATACAATCATAATAGTGTACAAACTTACAATTCCAATTAATTATAGTCGAATTTCGACTACTACGGGACCTCTGGTAATGTATAATGTTCATAGAAAATATCACTACACGAATATTTCATCACTAATTACTCCAGTAATCGGAATATTTAAGTACTTTAAATTATATTATACGTTAAACGATGCTTTCTTGTTACTATAATGTTATTCATTTAACACTGTCACTGGTGGTATGACCTCTTGTGAGTCCGCACGGCTAGGTACCACCACCCTGCCTATTTCTGCCGTGAAGCAGTAATGCGTTTCGGTTTGAAGGGTGGGGCAGCCGTTGTAACTATACTGAGACCTTAGAACTTATCTCAGGCTGGGTGGCGCATTTACGTTGTGGATGTCTATGGGCTTCAGTAACCACTTAACACCAGGTGGGCTGTGAGCTCGTCCACCCATATAAGCAATAAATAAATAAAAAACATAAATTTATCAAAATCGATATTATCTAGAACTCGTTTTATCGCAAAACATTACCTATAAAATCAATCAATTCGACTCAATAAATTGGTTGCTTCACGGAACTCACAACGTGTTTTTTGTTATTGCTTAGAGGGGTGGACGACTGGTGTTAAGTGGTTACTGGAGCCCATAGACATCTACGACGTAAATGCGCCACCCAACTTGAGATATTAGTTTTAAGGTCTCAGTATAGTTACAACGGCTGCCCCGCCCTTCAAACCGAGACGCATTACTGTTTAAGGGAAAAAATAGGCAGGGTGGTGGTACCTACCCGTGCGGACTCACAAGAGGTCCTACCACCAGTAATAGTAATTTAATTACCTGCTTTCTCATGAATTGTGTGCATTAAAATATTCGTTTGCGTTAAAAATTAGCATAATTATTAGGAAGATTTCGCAGTGAATCCGCGCATGTAAACTTGAAGATTCTAATTGGAATCTTCCCGTCTCATTCTTAGTGGAAGTTCGAACGCTGTGCAGGATCAATTTCCAATTCAAAATATTCTATCCGCGTCCGCCATATTCTATTTAGTGTTGGGCTCGTTTATTTTCAGAGTTTGTCGATAAACACAAAGCAATTGCCGGAAACTATTACTTTATTTAAATGACTATTTCTATTTGTTTGAACATTATTAAACCAGGAAAAAAATCTAACAAAAATTAATAAGCATATCGGATATAAAAGAAATATTATTATGATTTGTGATTATCCAGGGCTCGTATATGATGGAAACAAAATAAATAAAAAATCTACTTTTCAGTAGTACGGCTTCTGAAATTCCTGACAGCAAATCGAGCTGCCACTTTGATACCTTGCCATGTCTCGAATCCAGCTTGAGCAATAAATTCAGGCTCCACCAGAAAGCCTTGTAATGTGCCGACAATACCCCTGTAGGATGGCAGTTCATATGTATAGCTTAATGGTATACCCACACTAGTAGCGTAGTCGCTAGACACACCAGAAGCCCTGTAAAGGATTGACGGAATATGACCCACAATGTAATTTCTATTCTGGGGCCATTTGACAGCATCAATGGCCTGTGCCATCTGGACTCCAAGGAAATTGAGCGTCAGTGCATTAGGCGCAAGCTGACCGTTACCATAGCCAAATAAGATCATGCTGCCAAAACTGTGGAGATCAATGTAGACTTCCAAGCGGTTTCTATATTCGTGTAGAATATCACGGATTATCGCGGTCTCTGGTTCGGAGAAAGCATACGGCCCACGGTAATCCTCGGCGCAAGGATTCGAGCTGGACCATATTCCCCAGAAGACGTCGAAATTGCGATTAAGGTCGACGCCGCCCATACAAGCGTGAGGGGCGCGATTTTTGCGCCAGAATCGAAACTAAAATGGAATTTTATTATTAATTACATATATGCCACTATCCTGTCTATTTTTGTCATGTAGCAGTAATGCGTTTCGGTTTGAAGGATGGGGCAGCTGTTGTAACTATACTGAGACCTTAGAACTTATATCTCAAGGTGGGTGGCACATTTACGTCGTAGATGTCTATGGGCTCCAGCAACCACTTAACACCAGGGGGTGTAAGCTCATCCACCCATCTAAGCAATAAAAAAAATGCTATCATCAAATGGTATTTTTGTATCTCTAGGTAATTTCATCCAATGGAAAGCAAAATGTGTGATTCATGTCGCAGTATCCATTACTTGACACAAAAACCAAAAATAACTTACTTCTGTATGAGAAATTTCGTATCCGTCAGGGTTGGCAATGGGCAGGATGATCCAGTCAATATCTTGGAGAAGGTCGCTCTCAGTTACATCGATCACCAGTTTCTCAATAGCGTAAAGTGTTCCTGGAAGGGTCACCCATTCTCTCGCGTGAAGAAGAGATTGGAGCATCACTACTGGTTTCCTAGTGTCCTGAAATTATTCGAATTAAACAAGTTAGAGTTTAAATTTAAATTAGATTTAAAAAATATTATATTATATGGCTGGTATGTATGATAAATTGATAAATAAATAGACAAATAAGGTTAAAAATATTAAGAAATTAACACATCCAGGCAAACTTTTCCGCAAACGATCAACTTTTCAAACTTGTTACTCCTGGGACGATAAAATTAAATTTTTAATCAAGAATAATTTTTAATTAATTTTTAAGAAAAAACAATAATAGGCGTGGCCCTAACTGGCATCGAAATATATTAGTGAGAATCGACAAAGTAAAAGACTAAATGAACTCGCACTTCTTGTCACAACCGAATCTATACATTCGTATGCGAAGGTAGATCATTAAAAAAATCCTTCTCCTCCTTCAGTCGACCGCTCATTGCTGAGCATCGTGATACGCCCGCCTGTGACCTTTTTTAGTAATTTGTAGCCACTTTTGTCGGTCTCTGGCACAGTGAAGAGCTTGGCTCAGTGTCATGTCCAGACACTCGGATACTTGGTCACTCCATCTTTTTTGGCTCCGACCTCTGGATCGTCTGAGTCTCTCCAGATTGTCAGAGGGTTTTCTTGCTATATGACCAAAATATTGGAACACTCTATATAGGCATTTGGTGGATAGCCTCTGGTCAACTAAGGTCGGGACATTCTCTTGGGAGATAGTCGTAGTGGTTTCCCCTTGCCTCTAAGCCAGGTTTTTTTGAAGCTTTTTAGTTCTTCTAGGCCCCTGTAGCCTCTCCAAAGTGGGTTTCCCCAATTTTGTGGTCCGATTATTTATTGACTAACCTGAAAATTTGTTGTGGAAATTTTTAGATACTTGATATCCCTGCCTTCGACGCTTTTCCCAGCCGAAACAACGGTGACGGTTTCAGGGTAGCTATTGGCCAAGTCCACTAGATACTGATCAACCTGGTCATAAAGTAATCTGCGTTATTTTCGAGGCTCTGTTAACAAGAGCTAGTAATCACTTTCAGCAATTATTATTCCAGTTTTACTCATAGGAGATTGAATTGAGTTAACTTCTTGAAAATTTGATGAGCAGTATCGTTCAATGAATATACATGAGTGATATTAAGTCAATTTAATAGCACCACAGATGCTTTACTGGTGGTAGGACCTCTTGTGAGTGCGCGCGGGTAGGTACCACCCTGCCTTGTTCTGCCGTGAAGTTATGCCGTTTCGGCTTGAAGGGTGGGGCAGCCGTTGAAACTATACTGACACCTTAGCGCTCATATCTCAAGGTGGATGGCGACAATTACGTTGTAGATGTCTATAGGCTCCGGTAATCACTTAACACCAGTTGGGCTATGAGCTTATCCACCCATCTACGCATTAAAAAATAAATAAGTAAAAATATGCTCAAGAAGCACGATTAGATACTTGGATAATGCATTCTTTTGCTCGCTGGTTTCTGGATATTCTTATTGAAACGCAACATGGGAGCCGGTACGAACATAAAGTTTTAAAAGAGACTGATTAAATATGGTGAAATAGTGACTATTACTTTTGGCATTTAGACATCTGATACAAATATTTTTTAATAATTATAGTTTATCAACATGACATTATAGTATCATTGTAACAATATCGGGACTAATTCTCCACCCTGATCTTTAGTCCCATGGTCCGCGCAATTATAATGGTTTGTTAATTTTTTTAACAAATTACGCATGCTCATCCGACCTAAGTTAGGATTCTCGGTGCTATGGATACATCAAGACAAAGACTAAACAAACTTGATCATCCCACAATGTTTGCCTAATCTAGGAAATGAAATCACGACGGCCGGAGCAAGAAAAAAAAAAAAGAACAAAAAAAAATCGGTCGGTGCGCTAACTACTGCACAACCGAGTCAAAGTTTTTACTCTCCTATCGTCAACCCAAATAAAAGTTCACTACTTACCACGTCATATCTGTGGATAACATCAAACGACAATCCAGGACTAGACTTGGACCTATTGGTTCTAGCTGCAGCAGCTTCTAACAAAGAATCTTCCAAGTCCAATTTCCTGTAATAAAAAACAAAATACGGAACAAATCCCACACAGTCGGCTCTGCAGCAGCGGGATTCCTTTTTTACTGATGGTAGGGCCTCTTGTGAGTCCGCACGGGTAGGTACCACAACCCTGCCTATTTTCTGCTGAGAAGCAGTTATGCGTTTCGGTTTGAAAGGTGGGGCAGCCGTTGTAACTATACTGAGACCTTAGAACTTATATCTCAAGGTGGGTGGCGCATTTACGTTGTAGATGTCTATGGGCTCCAGTAACCACTTAACACCAGGTGGGCTGTGAGCTCGTCCAACCCTCTAAGCAATAAAAATAAATAAAAAACTATAGAGACTGATTGATATCCAAACTTACAAAAGGTAAAACTTACAAATTAATCATACAAAAACTTACTCCTTGATATTTTCTACTAGTAATGTGTATCCAATTCCAGCAACTTTAAGTTCTTCTTCGAACTTTTCTTTCAGGTAATCAGGAACGAGAATCTGCCCTTGCCTCCCTGGATGTGCGTTAATCCAAACATCGATGGCATATTTGGATTGTAATTCTTGGAGGTACTGTGTTTGTTCCACAAAAATCACGTCCACTTGGTACAGGCCATGACTGTTGAAAAACACTTTATTGTACTTAGTCTGGCCATAAATACTGTTACAATTAAAAATAAACAAAATATCTATTGCAAATAACATTTATTACTTTTACAGTGTGTTAGTTTAATACATAAATATAAAACAATTTAAAGTATAAAAAGCTTATTCGAAGTGGTCTCCATTGGCTGCAATACAGTCCTTTAAACGTTGAGGCCATAGAAGTACGCACTCTTTTCATGGGAAAAATTTTCACTGCCAATCGTACGGATTGTTTTAGGGACTCCAAATTATCATGGCGTTTAGAGCAAGCCGTACTCTCTAAAACTGACCATAAATCATAATCCAGCGGATTAAGATCGGGACTAGACGACGGCCAGTCTTCAGCTCTGATGAAGTCCGAAATGTTCGTTTCCAACCAAGACTGCGTAGACCAAGCTTTATGACGTGGCACCGAGTCTTGCTGGAAGGACCATTCTTGATTATTGAACATGGTGTTGTTAAGGAGCTTCACTACCTTCTCAAGAATGGTATCTTGATACACTTGTGCCGATGCTTTGATACCTTTTTCACAAAAGTATGGCTCAGTCACTCCTTCATAGCTAATACCCCACCAAACCAACCCTGAAGTCGGATAGTGCCCACGTTGCACTCTGTCGACTAATTGGGAAGCTTCCTTAGAGCTTTGAGCATAAATACGGTCATTTTGTTTGTTAAAATGTTGCTCAATTGTAAAAATTTTCTCATCCGTAAACAAAACTTTTCTATGACCTCCCTTTGCGTACCGCTTCAGTAGTTGTTTCGATTTTACCACCCTATTCTCTTTTAAATTATCAGTTAAGAAATGACCAGTACGTCTCTTATAGGCTGCAAGTCCTAAGTCATCTTTTAAAATACGCGACATGGTTCTAGGTGCCATCTTCATCTCCCGAAATAAAATCTTTTGCTTTCGGACAGGAGTACGAACACTACGTGGACAACCAGATCTTTTCTGTCACAAACAGAGGAGGTCTCATTGCACCTATTAATGACCCGGTACACAAACATTTCACTAATACCAAGCGTATGGAGAGTTTTAAAAATTGCGTTTGGCTCCATACCTACTTTGTGTAATGCAATCACAGCGATTCGGTTCTCTTTATCACCCCACTCCATTTTAATATCGCAAAATATTGTACAATGTATTGGCGCCAAAATGAGAAAACTCAATGAGCAACCATATAAAAATAACAAATTCCAAATTCAAATGTAATATTTTGTTTATTTTTAATTGTAACAGTATTTATAGCCAGACTAAGTATATTATGATAAATATTTTAAGAGATTGCAAAATTAAAAAGGGGTTTTTACTTTTACCCTTTGTCGATTAGTTCTTTTTATAACTTCAAAATAACTATTTATATTTTAATAGACCATAACTGTTGATTTATAATGTTTGTTGTAAGTTTGTAAGTAAATTGGTATAAAAGTGATGTGTGTAGCATAAAATTATGGGCGCAAACCGCCATTATTGGCAAATAATTAAACCGAAACGCATTACTGCTTCACGGCAGAAATAGGCAGGGCGGTGATACCTACCCGTGCGAATTCACAAGAGGTCCTGCCACCAATAAGAAGGCTTTGAACCGTGATTTAAAAGTAGCAATGAATGTCGCTCAATAAAAATCTTACCCTTCATAAAATTCGTGCTTCGCAAATACGTAATTAAATATTAGACACAAAATCAAACCGAAACCTCTCATTATAGTCAGACCTTTTCTAATCGCGTTCACGAAATACATAAGTTTTCAATCTATTTATTAGTTAATAAACATAGCCTTGAGGATATTATCATACGATAAAGGGATTTAATAACTGATGTATTTTAATTTTCATGATATAATTAGGCAATTTCTATTGTTTCATTACTACATCACCATGATAAGTTTGATTGCATTTTTAAAAACTAATTAGTGATATTTAATTATTTTTGTTATCTAAGATACATTTACAATATGGGGTTTTACCGTTATATCGCGATAAAACTAAAGATCCGCCTGATAAAAGGTGATAATTGTGGCTATTGGACATCAGCAACATTACAAGCACTGCAGCAATGTAACATGAAATACTCAAAGAATTTCATAAAATATATTAATATCAATAAATATCAAAAGTACCATACATATATGGGTATATCGGTTCATCGCAAGTAATAATATAATGTAGAGGAAACGAAATCAAATTTATCAATCAAACAGACAGACAGACCGTTTATAAAGACAGATTGGAGATGTCTATGGGCTCCGGAACCACATAACAACATGTGGACTGTGAGCTCGTCCACCCATCTATGCAATAAAAAATCTAGTAAATACTGAAATCATTTATTTTAGAGATAAAATTATTAAAATATTATACGTCAAATTTAAATGAATAAAAACGTAAATAAATTTGAATATACCTAGTCAGGTCATAAATTCTGTCACATGTTTAATGTAAAATAATTGAAACAAGTTTATTCATTATGTAACCATTCATATACCAAAATGAACTTAACAAAACATAGATTCTTATGACACTAAAGTTTATTCAAAATGACCTCCGTGATTTTGAATACAGGCCTTCAATCTGCGCGGCCAGTCGTCTATCGCAGCACGAACGAGGTCCATGTCAATATCGGCGGCTGCCTTAATCAAGGATGTCTTGAGTGACTCCAAATTGGGATGAGGCTTTGAGCACGCCTTTTCCTCCAAGTGTTGCCATATCTTGTAATCTAA